AGTCTATTTGAGTATTAGTAGACTGCTTAATATCTGTTATTACTGCTGCTAAACAGACATTTAACTGACTATAAGTACATGTCAACTTACACTAAACAGAAAACAAAAAGAGCCACATGTTGATAAATAATGTTATGATAGCTGTTTTAACATTAAGATGTGATTGAATTGCTTCTTATTACAGTTATGAAATAGTTTAATAACAGGCTGGAAATGTTCATGGGCCAATGACATGACCACATTGAAATGGTTTATTGATTATTAGATGTTAAAGCAGCTTGCCATGACCTGTCTAATAGTCTGTGATTCACATATGCTGGATCATACCTACGTTCTAAATCACTTTTACATTTTTATCTCAACCCACCATTGTCCTAATGTTTCTAACGCTGATAATGTACTGTCATCACTCATACAGGCTGAGAGTGGTCATTTTGCATAGCCAAACACTGTGACTTCAGTCAGTGGTTACATTACATTAGTCAAGTTTGACTAGCCCAACAAAATCATTAACACAGTCCCTTCTTCTCGGTTTTATTTCATACATAGAACAGGTCTTTGTTGTGTTTTAGATTAAAGTAAGTCTTGTATATCCATCTGATGTGTTGTGGTGCGTATTTTCTTGGGTTGTTCAGAAGTGTTGTTTCCTAGGGACTTTTTCAGCAATTAAAGGGTATATAAATAGATTGTTCTTATATTATCTTTCACAGTTTATAAGCATTGCGGCTGATAATGAGGCTATGAATTAACATCTGTGCATACTAAGGTGATGCATAGATGCAAATCTAATACATTTCTGACGCTCTGGGACTGAAGGATTAGCAGGTGTAAATTATAGTACATATAGGGCGACACGGATGCATTTACAGCTCACTAAAATATATCCATATACTAGGGCCAAATAATATTGGAAATTTTAATTTACGCTATATAATGCAATATGAATACAATTTCACCAGATTAATTAATATCTCTATTTGGAAAGAATTTATAATGGTAACTCGACTGGCATGATTTCAGAAAATCTAATAAACAATCTATAAAAGTTTTGGGGTCACCTGACACATTTTCAATGTGGTCTGTGCCATTTGCAGTGCATTTCTCTATTTGCATGTGTTGTGAGTATTTTTATGCATAACAATCTATAAATATGATCAAGAATAAAAGATACAAATGAAATAAAGTGTTTTATCGTGTCCCGAGTCTAAAAGTTTTCAATATCAGTAACAAATATTTTTATATTTTTATATATTTATATAAAAATTTGTCATCAGTAACAATGACAAAATAAAAATAATTCAATAAAAGTAATGACAGTTAAGGTCATAAATAGTAATTTTTTTTATACCTGAATGCCTTTAATGTCATTGTAAATTACAGGCAGTAAGAAATGCATGCACATGACAAATTATAATACAAACTCAAGATTGCATATCCTGTGAATGATCAGATTGCAATATTGATGCTGAAACTATGCAGACCCACCATATATATATATGTGTGTGTGTGTGTGTGTGTGTGTGTGCATATTTACAGCCATTTAGGTCAGAATAACAAATGTTTTCACTTTCTGAAAGCAAAATTATATTATTTTATTGTTTAAAAATGTTTAAGGTCACTTTATTTGTTGTTTTACGCAAAAGAAATGCTCTAAATTATGTTATTATTTTACGTTTGGAATAATTAACAGTAGTTTGCACAATTGAACAAAAATAACTTTTTACTGAAACACCTAAAACATAAATTCAGAGAAACAGTTTATTTATAGATCTGAATTGAATTACTTGATTTCTGCTGTTGATTCTTGATGTTGAAGTTTCAACTCTGCGGTTAAACAAAGTGACTTTTTAATGTGACACTTTAATAGTCTGAAACAATATATTGTTGAAATAATATATGGGAATAAAAGTACTGGCAGTTCATTTCCAAGCACAATATGGAAAACTGATCATTTATGGGTATTTTTTTTTTTTTTACAGTTTGGAAGTTGAATGTGATGTCCTCTCAAAGACAGAAAAACAAACATACTGTTGTGTGTGTGTGTGTGTGTGTGTGTGTGTGTGTGTGTGTGTGTGTGTGTGTAGAGGAATGTATTGGACATGTCTCTCCATCACTGGTTTTGTTATTTTATGCAAAAGAAATGCTGTAAATTACATTATTTACATATTTTTTGTTTACATTTGGAATAAATATAGTGTACAATGAAAAAATGATGTCTGCATTATTGTTGCAAACAATTTATATGTTTAATTAAAAAAATTGTTCAACCTAATGTTCAACTTAATTTGTTTAGATTCAGGCCAAATAAATTGTTTTAAACCCCTCAACCTAAAAGAATTTAATACATTCAAGGAATCATCTTTGAATCCTTTTTTTCAGTGTAGTTTGTGTAGTTGAACAAAAATGACTTTTTACTGAAACACAAAATGTAAATGCAGAGAAGATCCTCTCATTTAGCTGTATAGTTGTATATGCAGATGAGAATATACATGATTCATTTAAATGAGAAAATATGATTTATAAACATAACAAATGCTGCTTCCACACAATTCCTTCATGGTGAACCAACACAAATCGATCAAGTTACTGTAACTGTTTTTACAAATTTACACAGACTGAAGATAAAATAATTAAGTTGCCCTCCCCCCAAAAAAACTTGAGAATTGAGTTGGTTCGACTTAAATTAAATAAGTAGTTTAAACAAGCAGCTTAAAAGTTATTTTTAAGTGTGAGCCAGCAGAAGCACATGATCAGACACTCAGAAATGAACAGTTAAATGCTACAAAACACAAATGAACAAACAAACAAACAAACAAACAAACAACTCAGGAAACGTATTTTTAGACAGCTAAGTCAATGTGTGTGTGTTTGACGCTGCAGCGGTTCACAGTGACACTGTTTGCACATGTAAATCCAAATGGAGAGATGTTTGCGTTCACTTTTAAGCACTTGTATGTTACGTGGGCATGTAAGTACACTATTATTCAGGATTTCTGAATAATGATACCCGTCTGCTTTATGTAAGCAGACTAATTACGACGCGGTTCGTCAGGAATGCAAATGCCTCTTTTGAAAACAGCATAAAGGCTATCAAAAATCATTCAACGTAGAGAAGAAAAAAGGAGAACTCATTTCCAAACAGTCTTTAAGTTAAAGTTTTATTATCTAATAGTTTGCAGAAAAAAAGTTTAATAAACACACAACAAATGATTCCTGAACAATGAAGACAAACAGTGCTTTTCACCTTAAAGAAAGCCCAAAACAGGAAAAAAAAAAAAAAAAGGAGAAACAATCTGCTATGAAGTGCTACAAACCATTCTGGGTCTTGGAGGTTAGACTGCAATTTTTTCTTTTCTCAAGAAGAAACATTTTCTACGCTTCTCTCTAGTTCACTGATATTTGACATCAGTTCAAGAGCCATTCAGATAATAAAACAAGAGAAAGAAAATAAATCAAAACTCATTCAACACATGTAAAGTCTTCAGAAAGCTCTAACCCAGACGTAAAACACAAAATACAATTTTGGGTTTGGAGCTCAAATGCATAGAAAAGTTCACTCGTTCAGAATAAATAGAACCTTTAAGAATGTGAAACTGCACTGATATACTAAAGACTCGAATATATTTCAATACAAATGGGTTGTTCAGCGCATTGTGTTTGACCTGTTGTTTTTTATTCGATAACTGTTGTGAAACTCCTAAAGTTTAAGATTTGTAATTGACATTGGCGGTTCATTCTGCTGTGGCGACCCCTGATTAATAAAGGGACTAAGCTGAAAAGAAATGAATGAATAAATGAATGGCATCAGTGGTTCCATTAATAATGTTTAAAGAGACAGTTCACCCAAAAATGAATATGAACTCATTGTTTACGCTTCCTCAAGTAGTTATAAACCTTTATAAGTTTCTTCTGTTGAACACAAAACAAGATATTCTGAGGAAAGCTGAAAACTATTGACTTCCATAGTATGAAAAATAAACACTGTGGAAGTGAATGTTTACAGATTTTCCAGCGAAACAATAAAAAATCCTCTGTAGAAGAAACAAACTCAAACCGGTTTGGAAGTGAAGGCGAGTGAAATATTAAATTTTATTTTGCACTGTAAAACCCAACAGTCAACTTTACCAAATTAAATGAGTGTAGTTAACTCAAAATTGACTAATTGACTTAATTCTCAGTGTTGAAGGTAATGACTTCATTAAATACTTCATTACTTCAACTTAAATGGAGTAAGTTCACAGTACTCATATAGATTCGTTTTTTAACCTAAATGGTTTGTTGCAATCAGTTTTCTCAATCGGGTTGAGTTGCCTTAACTTAGAGTTTTACAGTACACAGTTGGTTTGAGTTCTCTTCATTTATTGAGTTTTATTGTGCTCAAATTGCTTCTCAGATGGATTAAGTTCACATACTCATTAGGATCAGTTTTTGAACTTAAATGGTTTGTTGCAATCGGTTTCCTCAAATGGTTTGAGCTGCCTTAATTTTTAGGGTTTTAGTGTTTGAAATATCCTTAATTTACCACCATTTTCTTTTTTATAGTGGAAAACGATCACACTCTTCACTTAAAATTCTCAATGGAACCCAAAGTAGTTATTTTATAGTAAAAATCATTTTTAGGAACCCTCGTTTTTTATTTTTAAAAGCGCAGACTGGCCATTGAATGTCTAAAGCAATTAAAGACTAAAAAACATGTATCAATCTATTCGTTAAGGTGTTTTCATTACCTCTGTCATACTAGGTTATGATGGAAATGTTCCGACTGCTAACAAAAGAGCAAAGAGAGAAATGAAACAAAACAAACAAAACGTGTACAAAAAACAAAATCTTCATTGCTCTGAGATGATCCAAAAATGAAGAGGTCCATGTGTATTGCATACAGTAGTCTTAACAGTGGAGTGTTTGAGCCGCTGACGTCCGCTGTTTTAGCTGTGCATGATCAGAGGTCAGTGGCTCAGTTCCTCCACTTCAGTTCAGTTCAGTAGATGATGTGGTTGTAGTTTTTTTTTTTTTTTTGCGGCAGAGATCCATCATCATGAGTGATGTTAATGTGAGATCAGTCTTCTGAAATGACGTCAATGTCCTCAGGGCTGCCCTGCTGCGTTGCCACCCTCCAGCGGCTCACGTGCTGACTGCCTTTCCTCTTCTGCTGCGGGTCTGGAGACTCTTCCTCCAGCTTCTGCCGCTTGTGTTTGGTCCTTCTGTTCTGGAACCAGACCTTCACCTTTGTAGTAAACGAAAAAGCAGACAGAGAGTGTATCAGATTGTTTTGTTACAGTCAAAACAGTGGCTTTTTTGATGAACTGAGTTTTTGTTCACATTTATTAAATGTGTGATTTGTCTGTTTTTTGCTTTTAAAAATGAAAGCAACAGCTTTTCTGAAGAAACTTTCAGAGCCAAGTACTATGGCATATTTAAAAACGTGACATATGGTTGTTTATGTAACCGCTCGATCTGATAATGGTGTTCAGTTTTTACAGTCTCTACAGCATATTTCTCTGATGTGAACTTGTTATGGACAATACAGTATGTCAGCCATAATAAAAAATACAAAATCACATGTTTAATGAGCCAAAAAGTTCAGTCCCCGGTAAACTAGTGATAATAATAATCAATCTTTTCACCATGGAAGTTTGAACTTTAAACATTTATCTTAACACTGTTTAATAAAAAAAAATCTTCTTTTAAATATCTGTATATGGATGAAACACATTTGTTCCAAAATAAAAGCATCTGTAAATAGCGTAATAATAATAATAATTCAAAATTTCGAAGTCACTAGTGAAAATATGTGAATTGTCATCATTATCTCTTTAACTGCCTGCTCTACCAAATGGTTTTGAACAGTTTACACACACACAGTATTGTTGGTTTACAACAAAAATTCAAATCCTGTTGCACTACTGCACTTGATTTTGGTTTTATTGTAAAAAACAAACAAACAAGAACACATGTTAAATGAGAATCTGAAATATTTTATAGCATACTTCAAAAAATAAAGATGATTTAGGATTCAGAAATGTTTTAATTTGATTATGTTTTTAAATAAATTGGTCTTACACTTCATATTTTCAGATTTTTCTGAGTAGATGTATTCATTCTGTTACTTTTACCATAAACTGACATGTCAACTATTTGGTAGAGGCTGATGTTTTAGTAATGATGGGATGTGTTGAAAAAAATGAGTGTGTTAACTAGCAACATCAGGAGTTAAGATATCCAATCCAATTTTTTTCCAGGGTGGGCGGTTAAAGGGTTAAAGAAAAAAATCATTACAAAATCAGTTTGTCGGTATGAATATTGAAATAAAAAATTTATTTTAAAAATTTCGTAAAATCTGGTTAGATATGAATAAAATACTATGTTTAAAAACACAAAAAGCAACATTTATATAACAATTATATGATCAATTAGTCCTGACAGCATAGGCGTTAGGTCATTGTAACTTATTACACTAAGTTAATCATGTTCTAACTTAATTTTATAAGTTACGCGAGCTGTTTTAAGTTAGATTAAAATAATACAAGTTCTAAATATATATGGAAATGCTTACTACCTGCATACTGGATGATAGTTCATTTTTGCATTCCTCACTGCTGTGCGACATCTCATTAGACATCACGACCATGCTTTTAATTTGGTGTATAAACAAATGTTTTGGTTGGTACAAGATTATTATTATTTTATTTTATATATATATTATGTGTAAAAATATAACATGGTGGCCAACAATTGTCACAATCATTTAGATCCTTGTTTACTTTCTCTCTCTCTCTCTACGTCAAAATGTACAATAATATTCTAAAATGTGTGATATTCAAAAATATTTTGGAAAATTTCAATAAATAAAGTTGGGGAAAAAACAATATAAGTTCAATGGGTTTATAAGGTTAATTTGATTCAGCTTAAATTTTTTAGGCAACCAGGATTTTTTTACAGTGTGTTAGAATAAATGTTTCAAAGCAGGTATTCAAAATCCAGAATAGACCCCTAATGAACACACCTTTCATTTTTAATAATAAACAGAAACAAACATACACAAAGTATCCTTAATTCTCAGATCACACCTGAAAAATTAAGTTAAAACCTCTTATTTTTTGTCAGAGTTGTTTTATACGCTTTCTCTATATCACAAAAGCAATATTCAATTCTACAATTCCATACAAAACAATGTATATTGCGAATATAACCACTAAATGCAACAAGAGCCCTTCTTTATGTCACAATAACTATTACTCACGCCTGCCGGTCCTACACAAGCACGTATGCGAAGCCGATTGTGAAAATAACCAATAAACGCATGTTGTATACAAGCTCTGGAATTTATACGACCTTTCCCAAGGCAATGAATGATGAATAACTTACATCCTGTGAGGAAACTGGATGAGTAAGTGTGTGTCTGTGTTCGTGTATATGTGTGTGTGTGTACATACGTATGTGTATGTACATGTTTAAATATATGCGAGGGCTCAATTGTCCTCGATTATTTAGTAAAATATCAAGACAAGCCAGTAGTGACATTATAACCTTTTTTATTGAGCGAATTTAATCAGTAAAAATATGTTTTTATAAGTATCTAATGATTGGCACGTGCTGCTACAAGCAGAATGGGCTTAAACCACAGAAAATCACATTGAAAATGCGATGTAAAAATATCTGTTAATTAACTATTTTACATATTAAAATTTTTGGTTTATTTATATATTTGAATTGCATTATGGGAACTTGATTCTCTGTCAACTTTTGATGTTGAAAATTCAACTCTGCGGTTTAACAAAGAGACTTTTTAATGTGACATTTTAACTGTCTGAAACATTATATGGTTTAAATAATATCTATGAAATATATAGATAAAAGTACTGGCAGTTTATTACCAAGCTTTAAAAGTCATTTACAACACCAATCCAGAAAATAAATCACTTAACAGTATTAAAAACGTCAATAAATGTAACTTTTCATAAAAAAAGTGGCCATCAAAAGTTGTTGGGAGAAAGATCAGAATCCCATAATGCAACTCAAAAGCATAAACAAACAAACAAACAAACATAAATGGCACAATATGGAAAACTGATCATTTATGGATATTTTTAACAGTGTGGAGGTCTATGCGATGTCCTCTAAGATAGAAAAACAGTATAGTTTGAGGGCGCGTGTGTGTGTGGAGGAATGTATTGGACGTGTCTGTCTCTTACCTGCGTCTCTGTCAGACACAAGCCGTTGGCCAACTGTTTTCGCTCAGCTCCCACCACGTAATGGTTCTTCTCAAAGGCTCGTTCCAGCCGGAGCAGCTGTGACGGGGAGAAGGCTGTGCGGATGCGCTTGGGCTTGCGGGAGAAAGGGCCGTGGAGCAGCAGGTTTTCAGGGCTACTGTCGTCACCTGCAGAGAAACAAACAGAACACCTTTCTTTATTAGAAACTACACTGTAAAAATGCTGGGGATTTGTGTTGGGATATCCTGAAGGAATTAAGTTAGCTTATTACAAATTTAAATTGACTGAACATAAAACAATTAAGCTGTCCCAACAAAATCTCAATAATGGTGTCGTTTTAGCTCATTTTAAATAAGTATTTAGTGATTTTGGGGCTCTAAGCAATTCCAGCCATGGGGCCAAAGTCTGGAAAAAAATGCACCCTTTCTACTTTTATTTAATTTTTAATGATATTGCTGTTTTTATATATTACTTATATCTTCTTTTTTTAACATTTTAAATTAATGCAATATCTATATTTTAAATGTTTTGTTTTCTTCAAATTAATTTACAACTAAAAATAATAAATATATGTTTTTTTTTTTTTATTTTACTGCTGGACTGCTCCATGATGAAGATTTTATTTTATAATAATATTATTATTACATAACATTACATTATAACAATAATATTATATTTGATTGTGTATTGACTAATATTTAACTTCGTTAAAATGTTGTTTGTTTAACTCTTACCATATAAAATATGGTAAAAAAAAAACAATGTTATATATAGTTAAAGGTATAATTTATACTTCTAGATATTTATTGGGGGCCCTCAGATATCCTGGGACCCTAAGCAGGCCGCTTACCTTGCTTATTATTAAACCCACCCCTGGCTTGAACAAACGACAACAAAAAATTGAGTGTAAACAATTTTATAAAGAGATGTAAAAAATCAAATAAATAACCTTCAGAAATATATAATAATACATGAACATAAAAAGATTTTAGCATTCATTTTTTTTAATATATTTTACTTTGACCTTTTTTGTAAATGTAACATTTTAAATTGTGTGTATGCTGATGTTGACATCATAACAACATCACTGCATTACTTCTGAAATGTCTATATGTTTATGTGATTATAATTAAAAAAAATTCAATTACAAAACGTTCGAAAATGCTGTCACATGTATATAAGTTTGCAGTCAGGTTTTTTTCATGTTTTTAATTAAAGAAAATTATTCTGTTCATCAAGGCAGCATTTATTTAATGTAAAACAAATTGTTAAATTGGTAAATATTTATTTATTAAACCTTTATTTATTACTTATTGTATGTAGTTTAAAATTAAATTATTACTCCAGTCATTATTGCTTTTATTACTATTACCATTAATAATAATAATAGTAATCATAATAATTGTTATTAATATTCGAGTGATTTCTAAAGGATCATGTGACCTAAGACTGAAGTAATGAAGTTAAAAATTGATCTGTAAAATCACAGAAATAAATTATTTAATTAAATTAACTAAATAAAAACTAATTTTAAATATTTATATATATATATATATATATATATATAGATATATATATATATATATATATATATATATATATATATATATTTTTTTTTTTTTTTTTTTTTTATAAGCCTCTATACTAATAAATTCTGTGATAAATGGCAACTGTTTGTAAGTTGATTCTTAATGTGAATGTGTTTGTGTAAAAAACAAGTCATTCCATCAAAATAAATATAAAAAGCTATGTTATGAAAATAAAAAAACACATTAAATGTAAGTAAAGGGTGTAATGTTTCAAAAATAAATTTTACAAAGCAAAAATAGTGTAGAAATAAAGTTTGATAATCATTTAGCATAACATGTATTTATGTAACAATGAAACAACATATTTAGTTTGATCAGAAAAAAACAAAGGAATGATAAAACTACATGTCATCATATTTAAATTGATTGTTTGACAAATAGTGTCAAAGTAAAAAGATTTTAAATAACAAATTAATTTGTATGTTGGGACTGTGATCCTCACTTAAGACGTTATTAAATAACTATTGTTTCGAATAGGCATGAAAACATTTTTAGTATATGAATTTGTAAACTGAATGACACTTTACTAGTTGTCTTTAGTAATTTATCATAAAATATGTGATAGTGTTTAAAAAATGTTTATTACACCCACATTGTTTTGATGTTTTTTGTAATTCACTCAGTATCACTCAAAAAAAAAAAAACTCATTTAAAACAGAATAATACTGGCACTCTAATGACAAGCATGTCTTCATTTAGCAGATGTATTATCCAAAGGCTCCTTATGCTTTTACCCAAATAGGTGTTTTCCATAGGCACATCAGTGCAGACATTAAGCGCAGGATTGCATGTCTTAATTGAGCCACATGAGTTGATTTGAATAATTCCAGACACGGCCGATGGAAAGTGTGTTCACACCGCATCATTCGTGCCAACTCAACGTCTCAACACACTGGCAGTGCATTCAAAGCCGAGTCTTCGGCCGGCCCTCGTAATGTGGCATTACCCTGATTTTCATACAAATGCAGGCCTTTGAATCATTGCTGCTAAAATATAAATAGACGACCATGCTTGAAAAGATGCAAAAACATTTGTGATGAATATGTTAATCTTCAGTTAAGCAAATCTAAATCCCTTACATTTGGTCTGATTATACTCAACATGAGGCAATAGTAAAATTTTCGCTTCAGAGTAAACGTGATCGGCGCTCGACCCCAGACGACATCTGGAGGGCAGAGTCCATACGCCGTTTATTGCAAACACGCCGAGAGCGCAAAACATTTTTCATAAACAAATGGATGCGTCATTTATGTGACCACTTCAGTGTTTGGAGAGCCATGCCTGAAAGAATCTTCAGAAAGATGACGACCGCAATCACGGATAAACAAAATATTCGGTTACTGGGAGGACTGTGAAGTGACAAACCATGATCTTTTGTCAATGGAAAAGCATAACCAGAGTGTTTCAACGTTCGCATCAGGTGTGCAACCGCAAATGCACATCGGTAACATGCAAACGTCTCAAATAGATGTTTGCTGCTTCAATAACGACTTTTTCCGAGCATGAAATTTGGCTGGATTTGCGAATGCGGTTGGTCCTTTTGCCCACACGTAGGCCGTGAAGACTGTCAGTTGCTAAATGAATTAAACATTAATCCATCAAACACAAGTCATGCAGAAACACTACTAAACCCTCCAACCACAAATGTAGATAACCTAATTGAACCTAAATCCAAACGGTTTACACAGAAGCTATTCAATTTTTTAACACCGATCATCAAAGAAAGCACAATTGGGAGCACAAAAGATGCCTAATGGCATCACCAGAAGATGAAAAGAGGATTAACATGAGGCTGTTCGGACTTTAAGGCTCTTTAAAAACTCTGAAACCAAGCCTTTATCAGCAGACAATAGCTTTGAAGCGACTCCTTTCAGAGGAGCGTTCAGCCATCGCACACTGCCTGCTTAATAACACAGCACCAGCGCATTTCTAGACATCCTAAAATAGTTGCAACATTCTAGGTATTTGTTTCCTCAAAACGCAACGACTAGTCACAAGCCTTCATTAACAGAAGCTCCTAATAACCTGCGCACTCTACTTGGGTTTTGCTAAAAGCTGCATATTTTCTGTCACACACTGTCATTGACAACTGCTTTCAGCTGGCGTGTTGAAAACGCTTTGAACACCACGGGCAAAAACAATGGAGACATCTCTGTGCAAAAATGTAAATAATGAGTTGCACGCGGTTTGGAGGCGTTGAAAAGGCCTCCTTAAACCTTCCTCAAGGTGCACTGAGCGCCAACCAACCGAAGCCGGCCTAACTTCTCCAAACTCTGCAGGCAAAGTGAACTGGCGGGTCTGGCATCATCAGCATGTGTGGCATCACCTCGCCGTCTCTCGAGAAAAGTGCTGGATCAGACTAGCAGGCCAGAACACTGACACTGAGACTCCAGCCTCCTGAAGAGCTGGGAGACCCTCCGGGGGTTTGGACTCAAACACACACTGGCCTCTCCACGGCAAGAAAGGCCCCAACATGAGGAAAAGGGAACCAGATGGCACCCAGATCAGCTTTACTACCGTTCCCTTGGCACAAACAAGCTTGGTCTTGTCAGTGCTGTTCTCATTATAGGCAGGGAGAAGGTGGCCTGCACTGGAAAAGAAGGAGACTGTACTCTTTGGACTCTCGGGTTACACTGCGTCCCTGACGCACTTCAATTTTGTTGAAATATTACACAAATTTTAAAATTAAATGACTCAATTACTCAATAATTGACTGAATACACATTATTCTTTTACTAAAATTACTGCTATATTGTATGATATAACTGCAATTTCTGATAATACAGTGTTATTTGATAGATAGATAGATAGATAGATAGATAGATAGATAGATAGATAGATAGATAGATAGATAGATAGATAGATAGATAGATAGATAGATAGATAGATAGATAGATAGATAGATAGATAGATAGATAGATAGATAGATAGATAGATAAGAGAATCAGTAAATTTTTATATATATATATATATATATATATATATATATATATATATATATATATATATATATATATATATATATATATATATATATATATATTTATTTATATAAAGTCAATTTATGACTTAAAATTGTTGAACAAATGTAAATAAAACTGAGAAATATTTTTTTCACAATTATCCCTCTTGTACATTGTCGTAATACAACACGTACATCGTCGTAGTGTTTTTGGAAGAAGCCTTTCATTTATGATAAAAAAACAACAACAACAAAAAAAACTTGCTGGTTGAATAAAAGTAACTTTAGGTCAGAGTTTGCAGCGGTATAAATAATTTTGGGCTTGACTACTTTACATGTATAAACTGCTTTTAAAAATAACTATTATAGGTGTATACAGTACATGAAAATCATTTTTAAGACAAGCATAATTTACAAGAAATACTATTTATTTTTTTCTACTTCACACATTTTCTAGCAATTCCTGATTTTCACACAAAAAGTTTTTGGCAATATGACTATTTTTCCCATTTGATTTACATCATAAAAATGTGTTGTTGTTTTTGAGTTCAATCAAATTTGCATAACAAAGTTGAAACCTGATAAAAGCATAAAAATGCATCATAAAAACACACATTGCTCATCATATATAAGTACACCCCTCAAATATCTCTCATTTAAATTAATATTTTCTATAGGAAGCTTTACAGTATTATATTTGTGCATATGCATTAGATTAGTCAGCACTAAAGCCAAATTTGGAGCTTATCTAACACAATAACTTAAGATAATGTTTCAAAAACTAGCACACCCAAATTTATATGTTAGAGAAAAATACTAAATAAAAAAATAAAAAGAGCAAAATTCAAAGAAACAAAAAAAATCTAAAATTTAGTTAAAATTGTAGGTTGTAATTTTTTCCCCAATATTTTGCACAGATTTAAATGTATTGTCTTTCAGTTTGTAAATATGTTTGGTGACTAAAATATTATTTTAATAAATATATCTGTTTAATAAATCTGTTTTGTTTAAATGCACAAAAATATATGACCGATATTCACAGAAAAATGGATACAAATATTCCTTTCCGAAATGGGATGTACTTAGTTATCCTGAGCACTGTAGGTTGTCATGAGTTTTTGATCATATAATTTCCACAGTCTACAATTTAACTGAGCATCTGAATGGTATATAAGTGCAGTGTTATTTTAATTATTTAGTTTCATCATTTTTTGGAACGACTCAGTAAAATCAGACACTCAACAGTGTACAGACGATGCCGCTGTTTATGTCTGGAGCTTCACAGATTTTTTTGCAACCTGATATCACACAAATCTCTGAAAAATGCATCAGTGCCACTGTCACAGTCTGCGAAATGTACCCATAACACAAAACCCAGCTCACGCACCACAGCAGGCCAGCTTGAGATCCTGTTTATCTTGTCCCGCATGATAGATTCGAGGACATGGACATTCAGGAAGTGTTAAAGAGTTAAAACCCATGGACACATTAGCGCCGACACTCTCCTCTTTCCCTCCCAATCCCCACGGCTGCATTTAGCCTTGTCTAAACAGTAGTTTTCTTGGTTATTGGACACCATCAGTGAGAGGACCGGCTCTGGGTGTAAACAAAGAGGCTCTATCTGAACCCCGGATCTGAGTAATAGTGACAACAACCTCTGACTTCCACCAATTACCTGAGCAATGCCCTGGAGGACTCGAGACCCTAACAGCAAATTTGACTGGGCTTCCCATCACACCCCTCTAGTCAGGCAATGAGTCAGACGGACAGAGCTACTGAGGGCTGCTTTAACAAATTGCCTGGTAAATTGGACCTCTCAGTATCAATTACGCTTTTTAAAGGACTCAATATGCAAACAGTGCAAGTAAAGCCATTAAATGATGATCTCAAATAAAAATATAGCAATATTACAATAAAATTTTAATTTTAAACAAGTTTTAAAACTTTCTATTTTTAATCTCACAAAGATCATTCAAATGTACATGTTTTATATCAAATTTATTGAAAATTATTAATTACTTTCTTCATCAATTTTATAAAGCATCCAAATAACTGCTAAAAAAGTTAACATGTCTTTTATAGTTAGCATACATTCACGTATTGCTTTTTGTTATGGTCATTGTAAGAGCTGTAAATCTTTATGGCAGTACAGTAATATAAACAAATGTGTTTCCTCTTTGTAGGAATCATAAACATAGAATAAATATGTTGTGTGTATCTCGACTATATGGAAAGATTTTCTTCCTCCGCAATAATGCAATTCAATCTTATACCGCATTTACCTTTTTAATTACAACGTCGTATAAATGCAGTGGATCTTAAAAAAAACTAATATTCCCAAAATAACATTTAGAAAATCATCATTATTATTATTATTATTATTTAATTTGTAAAATGGCAATTTATCTTTTAATTTTACTAAAATAATCCGAAAACGTTTTATTTAAACACAAAAGCTAATATATAAAGAGTTTATATAAAAACAAAAGGTATTTAGCATCTAGCATATTCTATTCAAATGATCTTAACTAGTCAAACATTGTCAACCTAAATGTGTTACATAAAACGGCGATTATCCTTCAGCCTAATATTTTATTTATGTTTGCCAGGCTATTATTTAGGCTATATTAAAGGAATAGGCCAACGAATGTTTGAAACAAACCGAAAAGAATGATTTGTATAAAACACTTTTCTTATCTTTTATAGCCTAATATAAATGTGTGATCGAAATAAGCGTTATGGCTTAATTTTGTTGACTGCGTACAATTGTTTTGAATTGTTTTATTATTGGTTATTGCGTAAACCAAATTGCGTACACAATCCAATTTAAAGTCAAAAGTTGAAATCTATTTGGACGTCATGATCTTGAGCTAGTTGTTATTTTTATTTTATATTATTTGATTAAAAGCCTGCCTCATGGACAGTTGTGATGTGTATGCAGTGCGACGCGTCATATTTAAAACAATGCTTAAATAAACACTGAAGTGAATGTAAACACATGATAATACTAACTCATTCTTTAAAAATATTCTGTTTTGTTGTAGTTAACACAAATATGTGCTTATGAATTCTATCAACAAGAAAACAGAGTTGTTTTTAACTTCATGGCCTCCACTGGTTTCAACATCCCTGTCACCGACTGAACACAGGTCTTCGCCCGGCTCCTTACCTTGAAACCGGTGTCCCAGATATCTGTTCCTCAGCACCCACGGGTAGAAGTTCAAGGTGTCCCTCTGGTGAGGACTGAAGAAGGGTTGTGTGGGGATCTGGAGGTGGCGCAGAGACAGGCCGGAGTTGGTGGAGTGAGTGGCCGGGTCTGTGAACATCATCTCTGGGCTGCTGCTGTACAGTGTCCTGCCTGAATTCTGGAAGCAGCTGCCAAAGGGGGAAGGATGGATGGACTCAGTAAACCTCAGAGCAGTGGGTCTGATGGGCTCGTCTGCAGCAGCGTTTGACGAATTGGAGTCTTTACCCACAAGAGATTCAATCGTGAAGCACTTCTTATTGTGCTGGAACATTGTGCTGAGTTATTAAAAATATTCAGTTAAATAGAAAAGAAGTCAGGTCACTCTGAACCCGATGATGGAGTGAAGCCAGGATTCTTAAAAAAGTCAAGAAGATAACATTTATATAGTCCCTCTACAATCCATAACTTCAGAAGTCTCCTCTGGCTCCGTTAACTTCGTTGGTTGCAATACACTTCCAATAGCTGCAAATGGACGAGAGAGTTCTGTCAGCAGTTATGTTGAAACTCATTCAGATCTCATTGATGTCCTTGTGTGAGCAGAACTCGTGCACCGTCGGAAACTGTCTCGTATGTGAAGCAGGCATGGGCTCCTCGGATGCAGGTCGCTGCGAGCTCTTCATATGATCGATGATCCGTCAGTTTGTGCGCCAGGGCTTGTCAAGCGCCAACTTCAATACCTGCTCGCGGAGCTCCGGCTGCGAGGTGTGGTGCGCATGCGCAGATCCAAGCGCGACGCACTCGCAGTCAATTACTGCCATTTTGTGTTGTGTAAAGAAATTCTGTGTTTGCTACAAAGAGTTCAACAACATATGAACGGAGGCGTCAAAACAAAAAATGTATGAAGGCTAGACATAAATTTAAAATGAGCCAGACAAACCCTCAAAACTGAGTCTTGATGTCTTAATGAGCTTATTGAGCTAAGAGAAAAACTAAATAACTTGGCCTGCCATTTGATTTAGGCAACATGTTTTTTTAAATGCATTGCGTTATTTATTTAGATATTAAGCTATTTGTTTATATAGTTATTTATTTGTAGTCGAAATCACAAATAGAGTTTTATTAATATCCTAATAATTGTGTAGGCTAGTATAAACGGTCTCACAATTATTAGGCTAACGGTTTACTTTTTCTTTTTACACTGAAATGTTCGGCCTATATATATATATATATATATATATATATATATATATATATATATATATATATATATATATATATATATATATATATATATATATATATAAACACAAATTAAACAATATAAATTTTCTTTACATTTGCTCAATTATGTTGTGTCCCCTTATATAAGAATTAAAACGCTAACATCACAACAACGAATAAAAACCTTAAATCACGAAATTCCTTGTCAGCTAATGATCAAATTACTTAGCCTATTAGGTTACTGTTATATAATTAGGCTATAATAATTATAATTATAATTATTAATATCATAATAATAGCCTAAATTAGTTTTGATTTGTATTGTAATAATAATAATTCGTTAAATTAGCTTTAATGAATCTTTTAAGGAAGAATAGTCTAATAAACAGAAAAAAAGTGTAGGCTAAATGTTAAATGGGTTCACAACAAACAAATGAACTGGTTTAATTAGTTTAAAAGTGCTTTCTTCGGCTGGTCGATCATCATTTTTAACCAATTAAAAACAATTGTAACCGAAACATTTTGTAAGCAATTAGATTGGTTCATTCATTTTTAACAGTTTAACTTGGGGTTTTATTCGTTGTAAAAGCAAAGTAGGCTATTTTGTAAGAAACACAATGAAACCTTGGTTCACCCAAAAGTGAACATTTCCTTTCCATTTGCGCACATTCAAATAAACTTTTATGATTTTTGTTGAACACAAAACAAGAAATTCTGGAAAAACTGCCCCTAACATCCATGGAGGGAAAAAAGGCACAGGTTGTTTTATTACATTAAAAACATCTCTCTTTGTGTTAAACAGAAGAAAAACAAGTTTTGAACAAATGGAGGATTATAATGGCAGAATATAAACAAATGTTAGGGCGAACTATCCCTTTGACGCACACATATCACTCGTTTTTATGAGCAGAAATATCAAGGCAACTGTGAGCTTAAGTATTTTCTGACGGTGTCTTAATGAAGCAGACACAGATCAAGGGGAGCGCGCATTGATCTGGCGGCTTGACATGTCTCGAGTGCCTCTCCTTGTCTCATTTGTCAGTTACAAACGCAATAAGTTGTTGAGAGAGGATGGAGGCTAATGGGGTGGATCAGAGTCTCGGAAACCCTGGACAGATGTCACCCTTTTGAGAAGGAACAATCGCGACTCAGGAGTCCCACAAAAGCCCCCCTGCTCAGGCCTTTCACAATCCACCCAGCGGAAGCCCATGTGAACCACGCAGGGCACAGACCCCATTGAGCCCCAAAGCAGCCCGTCTCCAGCCCTCTTGTGCCTCCCTTCTCGGTCCCTCTGCATATAATTAATAGCTTTCTCTGGCCAATTTTGTCCCCTTTGCCTCAAATACAAATGGCCATTAACATCTATTAATTTTGCCTCTGGCAATTGATTGCAGATTGTTCACAGCTGAAAGGCTATAACAGTTGGAGTTTTTGTGTGCATTCTGGGTGCGAAGGCGAGTTAAAATGTGATTATTGTTCCCCTGCCTGGAATTAACTGGTGTTAAACCCTCTTTGAACACGGAGAAGCCAAGACTGGTTATTTTACTAGTCATTAGCTGACTCAGAGACTTAATGAAATGGATGACCATATTGACTTAATGAACATGATGAAGAAAAAAACAGTTCATTAATTATTCACATAATTATTAAACACATATTCGCTATTAAGGAAAAAAGGGGACGAGGATGACAAACATGAATTAGTAGTAATTGTAAATCTTTACAGATTATGAATTTATCTCAAATTAATTGTTTATAAATATCCACATTAAAACATTTTCTTATGTAAATTCAATTCAATTAGGCTTACGTTTGATAACGCGCAACGTATTGTTATATATATATATATATATATATATATATATATATATATATATATATATATATATATATATATATATATATATAGACTATATATATAAAGGGTGAACAATTTTAGGTCAATGTGAGCAAACAAATATGCTCACTAAGCACAATAGGCTGTGGCACTGAGGAAAATTAGTGATCAGTTATTTCAGTCAGTTGTTTTCGCTAATAGAGCGTATCACAGGTCTTTTATAAGTTATTGTGGCAGATGTGATGTCCGTCAGTCTTCAGAAACAAGTTACTGAACAAGCAGTCTGGTGGTCCACCTCAATCTTTACTAACATCGCCCTCTAGTGTCAAATGTGTAAACAGATCACATCCATTAACATTTCAAAATCCCACACATATGTATAGCTTAAGTCAGACGATGATCAAAGCCAATGTTTAACAAATAGGAGCCTAATTTGGATTAGTTGTTTTTTTTCACACTGTGGTAAACAACTACACCAGTCTAAATTAGGGGTGCTTAAAAATCAAATATCATTGACAGTCGTGGGCTGAAGGTAAATATACCAAATGTGTCACGTGTGTCTTTTTCTAATTTATTAGAAAACATTACTTTAATTGTATTAGGTAATACAGTATGTTATTTAAAGTGATAACTTTTTGCAATAAAAGCATAATCACAATTATGACACAGTGGAGTTCAATGCTGAATACCGTCAAGCAGAACCTGCCTTTGCCTTCATTTGTCCTCTATCCGTCAGGTGACAGTATGTGCATTGTGCACTATATATGTACACTAAATCTGATTATTTACCCTGTTTATTTGTAACATTGAATTTCAGTTAGCTTTTAACAATAAAACAAACCAACAAAAGGTTACATTAGATTTGAAATGATAATATCTAAAAAAAAAAATCCATCATTCTTCCTCTTTTCTCATATGGGATGGCGGGTCAAATCAAAGCTTACCATGGGACAACTTTGGCCCGCAGGCCCTAGTTTGGGCTTCTTTGGTATAGACGGAAAAGAAAAAAAAAACCTGTAAGGGCTAGTAACAAAGTGAAGCATGCTGCTCTATTTGGAAATACATTTAATTAATAAGTGATCAATAATGGTAATGACTAATTATGCCGGCATTTTGAACAAAAGTATGATTACCATAGTGATATAAAAGTTCTTTGAAAAGTCTTTGCACAGTTACACAACGTCACGCTCTGTCATTGTGCTTGTCAGTCACTGAGAAAGAAAGACAGAATGACTTATTCTGTCTTTAATGTAGTTCATATCACAAAAAAACTGCTGTATAATTATTGATAACATTGTTCAGTTTATAGGCTAACTAGTAGTCTCCAGCTCTTTTTTTTTTTGCACTCCTACATGGTAGTATTTAACAGAATTTTCCCCAAAAACATTTCCGCATAATCCTTCAGAACAGTGTTTCTCGACCATGTTTCAGGGGGAACACAAACACTGCATGTTTTGGATGTCTCCTTTGATTACACACCTATTATAGATCTTTCAGTCTCTGTTAATGAGCCGAATTAGGTGTGTTTGGTTAAGGAGTCATGGAAAATGTGCAAGCTGGTCGTCCCCCAGGAATGTGGTTGAGAAACACTGCTTTTGAAGACTTAAGTGAACGAAAAAAACCCAGCAAAGTCTAATACTGATATTAATATTCATTGGTTTAAGATAAAAGTAAGCAACAGCTCATGAAAAGTCAGCACAGCATTCCTAGACAAATTTTGCAAGTGCTAATGGCATACACACAAACAACACTCCAACAACACAGACATGATCAAAATAAAGTGAATTAAATATAAATTCCTCTGCTGGTGAATGTGAAGCAGTATTAGAAAATGGAGTCAAACTTTATTTTTTGGCAAACATTTGTTTGTGCAGTTGAACAAACATTTGTTGAACATATCATACTTGAAACCGCGTATACTGATTCACAGTTTGTCAGGAATTGGCCAAAATAATAATAATGATAATAATATTAATGTGTCCAAATTTTATTAACATTTGCACTCAGACGTTTTTACTTTTTGGATTCAGCTTCATGCCTCCAGTTCATAAAGTTTCTAGATAATCCTCCAAATGCTAAAATGTAACAGCACTTCATGCATTTTAAAACATGGCAAGAAAGAATTAGTGAAAACTTGAGTTTTTTTCTATAAATACTGAATAATGTGCAAATACAAAGTACCCTTTAAACCCACTTTATATCTATATATATAAGGTTGTCTTTCTCAACACAATGATTTCAAATTCAAGCAAAAAGATCAGGCTGAGCAAATACTCACAATTGCACTAGGAGAAATGGTCCAAAACAAGCCACGGCTACAGCTAAAAATATTATAAAACTCATCGTTAAAAATCAGACATTTTGATGCTTGCAGTGTCGCTGATGCAAACTCAGTGCTGTACCTGTTAATGGTCCATAATTCTCTTCAAATACGAGGCAAAGCTTCATCGGGGATGAAGTCAAAAACACTTGTCATAGAAAAATAAAGCCTCCTTTTCCACCAGTCACACATTCAAGTCCTTTTGGTTCGACGATCTGTTTTTTTTTTTTTCAAGTGTGACTGGCACTGATAATCTGTGAAAGCTTTCCTTGCACCACAGAAGGAGAATCCGTATCATTCTGGCTTCCCAGGTCCTGTTCAAGCATTAAGTGAATTATGCATTATCAACTATTATTAGCTGAACTGGCACCATGGGGTCTGGTTGAGGTCACACTCCACAAAGGTGTTGATCACAGTACATGGAGCTCCACTGATAGACACTTCTTTTCTGGACTCCACCTTGTAGCGAAGGTTACTCAGGCCACCCTCAGGGTCCACCTTAAACTGCTCCTGCCAAAAGCAGACAGAAGCTGAAACACAGTTGGCCTTGTTTACAACCTAATATCAACATCTGTTTGTCAGTTGCCAGGTGTAAATGGGGCCAAGTTTATATAATGACACTGCTAATTTGGCTAAATCTAATTTGTGTCATACTGTGTGACACTTCAAAATCGGTGAAATCACAGAAAGTCTCTATTTTAATGGCTATTTGAAAAATTTTTATTGAAGTGAACAATCCAAATGTGTTGACGGAAATGTATTCAATCATTCTATAACCATTCAATATCTAATCAACGATCTTTAAAAATGAAATGAGTCAATTCCCATTCTGCAATTGAAAAATGATTGCAACAACAGTGAAGAAACGATTCCTCACTGCTGTCGTTTGTTCATTTATTGCCACATCAGGAAGGTATGGCTATTTGATGAAATTGCTAAAACAAATACCATTAAAATAAGTTCAGGATTTTTAGCGATACATATGATGTGAATGTTGATGTAGTTATGTGGTGAAGCCAAATTTCCACTTGTGGACAATAAAGAAAGTCAATAGTGAAAGTCAACAACAACTTCACATTTCAATTAGAGTTGATACAAAATAAATAAATAAATAAATATAGATAAAAACATACATAAAAATGAGTGATTTTTCAGTTCAGTTTTTGGTACTTGGCTGTCATGATTCTTTTTCAATTCTTCATATCAGATTCAGCATGTACGCTACAGCCACTTATAAGAAACATACAACAAAATCAGGTTTCTTAATGTATGAATTAGGTACAGGGATGAACATAAAACCTGAAACGCCATCAACTTACATAAATGAGAGGTAATAATCTGCAATAAATGTTTACATTAGGCCTTTCACAATAATCAGTATATCGACTTATCGCACAACACATGGACATGTCTTCAATTTCTGGTGATGCAATATCACCCATACATAAAAAAATATTCTAACCACATTTTAACCACATTTTCACTGATTGCGCAGCCTCTCTATGTCTATTGGAGGTGTCAGTATGAAAAAAAAAGACAGTAGGATATTTAATAGGGATGCTTTGATTCATATACAGAGTATCGATTCTTTGTCATGGTGATCATCCGAAACCAAGTACCGCTTTAAGCTTAATAATGCATTAAGCATATTTTGCCTCTAAGGATGATACTTAAGTGGAGATCTCGCCCTACCTAATGGAATAAATGAATGATGCTGCATTTAATCCCTTAAAAACGTCTCTTATAACCATTTGGTGTGGCCATGTCATGGCCAGAAGCAGCTTTACAGAAATGAATATAACTGGTATAAAAATGGGTAAGAAAAATTACAAAATGCAATTTGGAAACACTGCAAATGATGAAAGAAGAATTCAACAAGTCTCAATCAAGGAAAGGTTTGGAGCGCCTACTTAATTATACATCACACCTTTAAACCACCTAAATATCCACTGTTTTACTAAAAGGAAAGAGGCCTATAAACTATGGTTTATTGCAGTGAGTATATTACAAGAAGTTATATTATTAACCATTTAGAAATAAAAATAATTTTAAAGTTTTATTTAATAATTTCAGCCAGGTTTTAGTGAACTTGAAATATTGTCAAAAACACAAAACTTTCAGTTGTTATATGTAAAAAGGCCTAACTACATGCAAGACCATTCAAATATTTTTTAATACAATGGATGCACTTGCAAAAAAGAGACCATCACTCACGAAAGTCGAGTTAATAGTCTGTATAAACAGCTCGCACAGCATCTGTATATCTTTTAGCTGCATGAGCAAATCGATCGCTCGCCCCCATGCATCATTTTACCTCTTTACGTGTTGTAGCTGCTGTAGGCTATGAGAGCGCATGAGCGTCCTCCTTTGCTTGTAAACTCAAAAACAAACCCCTGCGATCGGTACATGAGATCAGCCAGATTGACAAGTACCTATCGAGTCATTAAATGTGATTATCAGCCAATAGCAATCTTCAGCTGATCGATCGGAGCATACCTAGTATTTACCATAAAGTTACTACAGTATCTTTTCATCTGGGTGCTTGACGACTAAAAAGAGATCTGGTACTTTTTTGTTAACATTTATTATTATCATTTATTTGTTTAGCATATGCATTTTCACTTTCTGATTCCAATCCCTAATTATTAAATTGTTAAAATGAATATAATTAAGTGAAATATTCTTAAGAATAAAATGCGTTTTTGGAAGAGTGTACTTGCATTATAATGCTATTTTTATGTTAAAAAGGTCTTAAAATGACTAATTAAATTTTTTAATCGCAATCAATTTTGGTGCTATATATCTAGTCTACATAGTGTATCCTTTGAATATTTCAGCATGATATACCTTAACCTGCTGTAATGATTAATTGAAGTCAACAATTTGAATCTGTTTGTGGAAATGTCTAGACTTTTAAACACCATTTGCAAGAGAGTCAAATTATTAATTAGTTCTTTTAAACTGAACAGCCAACTTTGGAAAAGACACTTGGTTATTAACACCTCAGAATCAGATCTTTATGGATTTATTTATCTTTTTTTCCATAAAACCATGAGGCAGCTCATATTTAACAATGATAATATAACAAATGATTCTAGAGGATCAGATTATCATATGATTTCAGAAGAAACATATGAAACTTAAGCCTCGAGTAACAGCTGAGGAACATTCAAAAAGTAATAAATAAATAATAGCAATAAACACAAACAGCCCTTTTATATTGTTCTAATATTTTACAACATTAATGTTTTTATTTTATTTAAAATTAAATAAATGCAGCCTTAATAAGCAACATATTTTTGTCAAAAAGCTTTTTAAATATTAATGAATATTACCTGTTTTTGTGCAGCGATCCGCTTCTGGTCTCTTTTTCTCCAGGCTGGATCATGGATGTGTCTAAATGTTTTAGTTCCTGTAGTAATACCTGTTGGTCTAAAAAGCTGCAAATATACATTGACAATTGTTTATTATATTATATTATATTATATTATATTATATTATATTATATTATATTATATTATATTATATTAGATTAGATTAGATTATATCATGTACCTCAAGATTAGCTGCTTTCAGTCTCCTGAAAAACTCGTCATCTTCTCTTCCCCATCCCCAAAAGCGGTTTGACATCCCGTTGCACTTTAGGCAGAAATCACAAGCAATTGTAATTTACAAACAAATTCGGAAAATCCCAGAATGTTCCAAAGACTTTGGGTTTCTTACCGCCAGATAATGTTTCTTAGTGAGCAGCAGGATTCCTCCAACATACGTCTTATAGTGATATAAAGGATGAAGCTCTGGTGAGGCCACGTGGAAGGGCCCGTCTACTGGAAACCCATAGTTCAGATCCTCGTTTTGAGGCAACAAGTCCACATCATGCATTGCAATGTAGTCTGTGTCATTCCCACTTTCCATGAAGCCAACGTTAATAAGAGAGGCACGATTGAACCTGAGACAAGAGTTAGAAAACAAAATCATAATGTGTGCTTCCAATAAACAACTGGTATCATAGCAAGTATATTTATTTAGTGCCATGTCAGCAACAAGAGCTATTTTCATGGGGAAAACATTTTTAAAAAATTAAAAAACACAAACAACTGAAAACAATAATTAGATATGATTTTTAAATGTTAGTGTATGATAGATCTCAGGTAACAATAGCACAAAAACTATAACTAGCAAACAAACAAACAAACAAACAGTGTTGTTAATAATACTCACCGAAAGTGATCTACTTGGTTTATAATAAATATTTTATGACGTATTTTCTTCTTGTTGAGGAAAGCATGCATATACGGGACAAACACAAGCAGCTCTTCAAAGCGCTCTCTGAATGGAACAATGAGGGCCATTTTATGAGGGCCCCAGGAAGGATCATCAACATGGGACGACTGTTTGTCTATTGGACAGGGCTGTTGAGGGAGATGGCTGTATCCAGCAGTCTGGCTCATGTCTCCTGTACACGTCAACTGCACCCAGAGAAGGGACCCAAAAACAAACACCATGCAGAGGCCAAACAGCTTCCATACAGTGCATTTCCTCGACAGAAAACTGAAAGAAGAAATACATTTGTGTGAAAACTCAATAATTGAGCTAAACCTGACAAATAATTCATTAAACATTAAATGAACACACAACAAAGGTCACTGCAAACCTTGTGTATTATTCCACCCACATACATCGACAAGCAGAGGACACACAACAGTTTGACAAATATTGCAGCTGTTGGACAACATAATGTACTTTTGAGTCTTCTTTAGTAGAGAATGTAGTTGTTTAGATTGAAACTATGCAGCTTATTTATAAGAATAGTGCTAAGGAGAGTTCATTTATCATTTCTGAGAGACAGCACGTCTATATATATATATATATATATATATATATATATATATATATATATATATATATATATAGACACATATATATAAGTCTGTCATCGAGCAAAGACTGTTGACATTGTCCATCCTCCATCCTCAAGATGGCAACTGAAAGAGTAAAATAAGGCCTTGGAAGAGAAAAACAGCTTAATTTCAAACTCCAGCTGATTACATCATTATTAAACAGGTAAACAGTCAAGTGGTGCGATTTCGCAGGTCAGAGTTTACCAAGCTTGAACTTTCTAATGCAGCGATCTGCAAAACTTGAGGCACGACCTTGTGTTTCCGGTCTGATGCATAGGAAGTCTATGGGGAGAAAAGTCCAGTGTGACCACAGCTTTACTTATATATATATATATATATATATATTGTAACACCACCTCTATGCATGCAAGATGTTACACTGAGGGAGTTCACAGAATTTTTATTTCACACATACTGAAATTAAAATAAACTTCACAAGCCTGTTTTTCCCTTTTTCCTTCTTGTTTAATTTCTCTACATGTGTATACAGTATTTAGTCCACACAAACAAAAGTAATCAATAACCAAAACCAAGCAGTCATTGAATGTAAACAGTCTTTGTAAATGATATAGATAGTTGGGTGAATGTTGAGTAGATGGATTTGAGTGCGATGCAATAAGATCCACTTCCTCACACTGGGAAAACTGTAGTATGATGAGGAATTTAAGAGTCACTGACCGTCATTCCAAGTGTACACATATAGTTCATTTGCCAATGAGAAGCATAAAGAACGTTGAAACCAAATCATTGCAGTCCATTGAAAGCACCAACAAACACCTCATCTGAACATCTCTAGGACAACAGGTCCTGTATTTGAGCAGCAACAATAATGTTCTCAAAAACAATCAGAACCGGAGTGGGTCGGTAGCCTCAGTTCACCATGTGGTTCCCTCTACCAAACACGACTCACTTGCTCTATGGTGAGCTGGAATATATCCAGTTCTCACTCCCCTCTAGTGCAACCTAGTGGCCTGTAGTAATATTGCAACCAGTGCTTCTCACATCACAGGAAACTAAAACAACAATTAAAGCATGTAACGTTTGTTCGTTACAATATATATATATATATATATATATATATATATATATATATATTAAGGGTGTCAGGATCCTCCAAATCCTCGATTCGATTACATTTTCGATTCTAAAGTCACGATTCGATTCGATTTTTGATTATGAATAATTAATTAATGACCAATTAATTATTTGTAGCCTACCGTTTAAACTACCTGACTTGCATGGTCTTTGTTTTACCCATAAACAAATCATACAGTAAATGAATAAAGGCAAGATACACACATAACATAATTACCACCTGTCAAACACTTTTTCTGCGGGACTCGTGAATAGGCAGTGATCTGTGTCGTTATAATGGCGTCGGTAAAAAAGACGCACAACCAACAGGAACCAGCCAACAGTATCTGAGGTGTGCGCTAAAATGACAAAGTACAAGTGAGTGAAAGATTGAAGCAGTCCTCTGACTGCCTGGACCTGCTGTCTCGAGCTCATATGGCTGTGGGTGCGTCTGTGTGGTCACGTGATGTGCATTTTTAGAGGTAGAGAGGAAGGAGGGCTGCTCAGAAATGCTACACGCCACTGTGGATGTCAAATCGTTGTCGTTCTAAAATGCCATTTAAAAACAAAGACAATGTAAACAGGGCCTGAGTGTGTACTTTTCGCGAGCAGATTTGCAACGGGGGCGGGCGGAGGATCGCGATGCCGGTGTTGTCTATCGGACAAACCATACATAACACGTACATAGCAGAGCTTGCAAAACTGTGTTTTTTTATGTCGACAACACGAACGTTGTCAACTTAACTCACTGGAAATCCAAAATGCTTACACACCGGCGACTTCATTGAAAGAGGGTTTAAGTTCTGCCAACGGGTCTCCTGCTTCTGCAGTTTAACAAGCACTTCAACAAGCCTGTTTTTTTCCCGCTTGGCAAGCCAAGCTGACGTGACATGGGGGCGTGGCAGTATTGACGATTCTACTTTGATTCGATAATTGAAATTGAGCATAAATTTCGATCGATTTCGATTAAAAATCGAAATCGTGACACCCCTAATATATATATATATATATATATATATATATATATACACACACACACACACACACACACACACACGACTATGAATGAGTGTGTGTGGATGTTTCTCAGAGATGGGTTGCAGCTGGAAAGGCATTCGCCTGGCAAAACGTGCTAGATAAGTTCATTCCGCTGTGGCAACCCTGGAATAATAATTATAATATATATATAATATATATATTATATATATTATATATATATAATATTAATAATTATAAAATGTTATGACTTTTCTTGAAAGTCAAGTTTACATACAATTATTATGCCTCTGAAAAAGCTTAGATAATGGTGTCAAGGTTTTGGAAGTTTTTGATTGGCTAATGACAACATTTGTGTTAATTGGAGGCACAACAGTAGAATAGTATTTAAGGAAAACCTCAAACACACCGCTTCCTTTTGTGACAACATGGTAAAATTAACAAGCCAGAATCAACAAAAAATGGCAGATTACAATTTGCTAAATTACACTGGGAAAAAAACAACAATTTTTTGGAGACACGTCCTGTGGTCTGATAGAACTAAGATTGAACTGTTTGGCCATAATGACAAGTGTTACATTTGGCGGACAAAGGGGAAAGCTTACACGCCTAGGAACACCATCCCAACTATGAAGTATGGGGGCAGCAGCATCATGTTGTGGGGGTGTTTTGCTGCAGGAGGGACTGGTCCACTTAACAGCATAAATGGCATCATGAAGAAAGAACATTATGTAGAAATACTGAAGCAACATCTCATCAGCCAGGAAATTAAAACTTGGCCACAAATGCGTCTTTCAACAAGACTATGACCCTAAGCATTCTGCCAAATTAGTTAAAATATGTTTTAAGGACAACGGAGTGAATATTTTGGACTGGCAATCACAAAGCCCTGATCTCAATCCTATGAATAATTTGTGGGCGGAGTTGAAAAAGCTTGTGCGAGCAAGACAGTCTACAAATCTGACTCAGTTACACCAATTCTGTCAGGAGGAATGGGCTAAAATTCCTTTAAATTATTGTGAGAAGCGTGTGTGGGAGTGCAACAAATATTTTTTTTTACAATCCTGTTTGCTGAAAAAAAAAAAAAAAATGAAAATCTTCACGGTGGTGTTATCAAGACTGGTGACGACAGAATGGACAAAAATACCCAAAACATTTGACTAAAGTTATAGTTTAAAAGCAACGCTAAAAAAATACCAAGAAAATGCATGTAAACATTCGACTGTCTAGAAATTAATAAAAAAATTCTCAAAAATAAAAAAAGTATTATTCATTTAAAGTTTAAATTCAATCAATTATTTCATTGGTCTGGCATTTAGCAAATGTAAATCATTTAGGTAATCCTAACGGACCTAAAATAGAAAACGATTAGTAGGATTTACCATCATACATGTAAAAAATGGTTATGTTTCCTTTTTTAGAGTGTATGTAAACGTCTGGTTTCATCTGTATATAAAGGGCTGCAAGACATTGGAAAAAAATATCTGATATGTGACATTGTCGTACATTGTGATAACAATATGTCTTGAGATTTAACATTTACCTAGAAAAATCACACTTTTATTAGCTATTTTAGAAACATTTATTTAATGATCATACTAATAAAAGATATTGTTCTCATCTAATTATTATATATAATTAGACAGATATTTCCACCATTAGTATTTAATTCTGTACCCAGCAATAAGGCACTACAGGTTCACCTTGAGGAATGATCTAGCCATATAGTGCCTATGTAGTCAGTAAGGTGGATGCATTTTAATGCCAGATACACTCCAAGCACTTCAAAGACCCCAAGACTACAAAAAAGGAAAAGAGCAAGCAGTGCTGGGAAACATCAAAGCAAAATGTCAAGGGTGGAAAAAAATTCAAGGGCTAGCAGAAACTTTATCATTTGTTTGGTTTGAAAATGACTTCTGTGTAAGCATCATACATTTCTTCATTTCATTATACTCTTTTTGCCCACTAAATCTATTCACAACTTTGCTGATGTAACTGCAGATACAAGACCAAAGTAGACTTCTGTGTTTTTGCTTTTTTTTCTGGTTTTGTCTCCTTTTTCTATCATGTAACACTGGTCTGGATGAACCATCCTATGGATGAACGGAAGTAGCAAAAAGACTCAATTTAAAGCATGTGTGCACTGTGTATACATACATAAAAAATTGTGCAGGATTTGAACACTACACACACATAATAGCTGAATGACAAAATTCACTCATTTTTGCACAATCTCATGCATGCATAGAACTGAAGTATATTTTTGGGACAATTTTAGTGAAAAGGCCATTCTCATTAAAAACAGCATTTCAGCAAGCATACAGAGTACACAATGGGTAAATAATATTCTGATTAGTTTTAACTAAAGAGAAACAGAGCTACCATACATCTATAATGTTATAGGGTCTTTAAAGTTCACATAAGACCTTGCATGGTTCAGGAGTCTCTGGGTGTAAACTGTCAGTGAGTTAGTCAATGAATGAGCATACACAAACTACAATCCACAACAGCACGCGTTAGATATATTCTTTTCATAAAGGTGTTGTTATTCCTCAAGCAGCTCATGCATCTGTACACAACTGCTCTTTCTTAAACTTCACACTTCTCTCAACAACATAATGCCTTATACTCACTCTCCTGGACGCCGCACCCCTTGACTTTCACTTCTTAAAATTATATTTAAAAACATTAGAATAAAATACATATTAAACACACACAAACTAATCTAACAATTGTAATAAAATTAAACTATTAAAATTAAGATTATTTTTTATGTTCACACCCACATGCAACCATTTACATTTCAGCTAATGGAGTGTAAATTCATTATAAAGTGAAGTTCATTTTGAAATCATATTCAGATTAAAGTGAGCACCTTCTTTACCTTCTGTCATCTTTGAAATACAGCACAGGTTTCCTCCGTGAAGAGTACATCATCTTTGTGCCTTTCTGAGCAACACCGTACCACGCTGAAGAAAAGCAAGCTGATCCAAATATCCTCAGTGATATTCAGCCTCAGTCATCTACCGTTACATGTTAAAATCCAATTCCTGTTTATGACACTGTCTTTTGTCTCTTTCCATCATAAACGAGCTGCAATTTATCACATCCTCAGCGGACGGCTTGAATGTGTTCTTTCATAGTAGACACAACCACTTTAACACGCTTAAGCGCATTATAAACCTGTTTCAGATCTGTTATTTGTGAAGAATTTCGCGTTAAGTTACACGTCACTCATAACGGTACGACAAATAACAAGCAGACGGCAAGAGCTGATTTTAGGAAAACGCGTCCACGAGAATGACCGATTAAACGTGTGTTAAAAGGCCCAGATATAGTATATAGTGTCTGTTTATTTATTACGACGCGTCATTGCCGATAAATATATAACAACTTGACAGAGAACTGTGACAAAAGAAAAAAATCACACGCTGGCTAAAAGCGTCCCTCGTTGAAATATTCCTCTGGAAACATTGTAAGGATTTAAGTTCCTAGGACTCTCTGACCTCAGCGGTGTTACACCATATTCCGAGATCAAATTTATTAGTTATATGTAACGTACAAACTAAAAAAGAAAGAAATGGGGAAGAGAAATCTGAGTTCAGTAACACATTTAGAAATACGACTAACAAATAGTTGCAAGGGCAAGCTTAAATCTTTGCCCTAAGTCGGTTAAGTTGTATAATTCGTTCTAATTACCTGCTTAAAAAGTGATTTTGTTAATATTTGTCAGCAATGAACGAGTACATTAACAATGTGTTAGACACTTCAAAAGTAATGTTCATTACGTTATCTTTTTTTAAGTGAGTGTTGTCGCAGTTGTTGCAACCTCTATAAACCTTTCAGACCAGCCGAAACGATTTCACATTATATCAAATGATCTATGTAAAACAGGCGGTTCATTCCGTTGTGGCGACCGCAGATTAATATAGGAATAAGCCAAAAAGAAAACTAATGTCATAAACGACTAATTTAAAGTGATAGTTCACCCAAAAATTGAAATTTTCATAATTTACTGGACTTTTACTTCTTTCAAACTTTAAATTTTGTCTCTGTTGGATGCAGAAGAAGTTGATTTGAAAAAAGTTTGAACCCTGTAACCATTGACATTCATATATTTACTTATTTCTACTGTGGGTGTCAATATTACAGGTTTTCAGCTTTCTTCGAATCACTCATGTTCAGCATAAATAAGGATTCTCATATAAGTTTGGAACCACTCGAGGGAAAGTAAATATTAAGTGCATTATATTTTTGGCTGGTTGTGCCTCAGAAGATGAAACACAATGGACTCTTCACATTTCCAGGTTTCTCAGCAGCAGAAGTCACTGTAGTTGGGTAAACTTAAAGCGCAGTGAATGGGAGTGCAAAAAAATTTTTTTTACAATCCTATTTGCTGAAAAAAAAAAAGAAAATCTTCACGGTGGTGTTATCAAGACTGGTGACGACAGAATAGACAATGTCTAATTTATTGTCCTGTCCATAGACGCATTATTAGAAATAAGCAATAATTAAACAAACAAGAAACAAGCACTAGTTTTTCTGTAATTTGATGGAAAAGTTGATACAATTCATACACAAATACATAAATAATCTGAAGATTAAAAATTTTCAAGGATTTAACAGGCAGATGACGATAAACACGTCATAACAGTCTTGTGAAAAGTCAATAAATACACACACATGCATTATAAGTGAATTGAATAAACTAAATTTTATTCAAAATAGTGAATGAGTGTGTATAAATAAGAGAGTTTATGGGTGTCTCCCAGCACGGTGCTGGTTTGCAGCTGGAAGAGAACCTTTTTTACAGTGCATTTGTTCTCAAATGCTAAAAAACCGACCATATGTATGCTTGAACATCAAACACATTGAGCTCAATAACTTTAAGCTCTTTAAGTCTTAAAAAACAGAACAAACACTTATTTAGTAAAAAATTGACTTTATTTCAACATTTAGTGCAAAATTCAGAATAATTATCATCAGTTGTGAGGCTTGTCGCCCCAGCCTGAAGTTAGTTTGTGTCCGTGTTCAGCTCAGCACCATCTTTAAGATGGGCAGTTTCCAGTGGCACCACGTGGAGGAACGGACCTCGCCACCTATATATACAGGGTTTGAATTATCACTCACCATAAAATAACCTATATCAACTACATATAAGATCAGTAGTCAATAAAAGATGATTAATGATTAGACTAATGATGGCTGTATATAAGAACTATATCAAAGCAAACAATAAAACTAGTAACTTTATTCATCTTCAGAGCACAAATTAAGATATTTTAATGAAAATAATGAAGATATTTTAGGGAAATCTGAGAGTTTCTTGATCCATCATAGACAGCAAGGTTCCTAACTATGAGAATATGTTTACGTGCACATAAAACATAACTTTGTTCAACAATTTCTTCCCTCAGTGTCAGTATAGGGCTCGCATTCACTTGTAATGCCTCTGACATGTAACTTTGATTGCACCTGTGCATTTATTTAACACAGGAAGTTGCACTTGGGCATCTGTCACTGAACAGTGCTTGTGAACGCAGCCCTATACTGACACTGAGGAGAAGAAACTGAATAAAATTGTTTTATGTGAAGACGTATGGTCCGTTTTTAAGGTTGTTTGAGTCAGACTTTGAGTCTGGATTAAAGTCATTCTGAAGATGAACATGAGGATGAGTAATAAATAACTTAAATTATTGTGTGAACTTTTTCATTGTTTTATTTATTTGTCAATGTTTTCTTTTTTGTTGTTGTTTCTAGAAAAATTTTGATTGGTAAATAACATGGCCAGTTATAGATTTATATTTTAATATAGACGGTTTTGCAATTGTTTTATTTTAAGGGACAGACAAGTCTTCGCTGAGGCCCAGCTTCCAGCCCCCGGTGCTTTGACTGTAGCTCTGCACAAGACGTTTGGCCAGTGGAGAAATGGTCGTACCCATTTGAGCCTAGTTCTCTCGAGGTTTCGCCAACTGGTGAAGTTTTTTTTTTCCTCGCCGCTGTCGCCACTAGCTTGCATGGTTCGGGATCTATAGAGCTGCGCATTGATGGATTTGCTCTTCAGTGTTTGGACTCTCAGTAGTGATTACTGAACCACACTGAACTGAGCTAAACTGAACTGAACTTAAACTTTAAAAACTGAACTACACTACAGGTATTTCAATTTACTATGATCTTTTATGTGAAGCTGCTTTGACACAATCTTCACTGTTAAAGTGCTATACAAATAAATGTGAATTGAATTTAATTTATTTTATATGCTATATTGTTTTATATTAATCATTTATTTATTTTAATATTACATTTTTATTTTTCCAGTTTTGTGGTCAAATGGATGGTGAGTGATAATGTTAATTGGAAACCCTGTATATATATCAGTTGTTCCCAGTAATCATTGGTCCAAAAGTCTCTCTGATCTGTCTCAAATAACATTTTCACAGAGACAACCAAAAATATAAGGACCTGGATTGGGAACGACTGAGATATATCTCTTGTTTTTTTTTTTTTTAATTTTATTATACATTTTATTTTAGCATGTAAAAGTGCAAGAATTAGTGCAAAAAGCTGATGTTAAAGTGCAGGCAGAGGCACATACACTATATAAAGGTCCAAATTGTAAAGTGCTTTATCATTTCTTTTTTTTATTTACAAGTAATTTAATTGGAAGCTATGGGGTGTTAGATTGACTAGATCCATCTGTTAAAGAAGGACAGTTCTCCTCATTCCTCCTTGTTCTCGTCTGAAACATAAACAGAGACCAATTTTAAAGCATAAATAGATTAAACAAACAACATGTAGTAAAAGAAAGCAATATGTGCACATTAAAAATTAGAAATGGAAGGACATAAGATATAGCTTGGTTTCCATTCACCTGTGCTGAAATGTGTTGAAATCAGTAATGGAGATGGTGCTTGTGCAAAAAAAATGTGTTAATGCTTAAAATAGGAGATGGAAACACAAATTTGTCGAATAAACTCTAACATAGCGGTGAGCTGCTCTAACAATTTGATGGAAATGCAACTAACTCACGTCACGTTGAGATGGAAACCTGATTGTGACAGTGTAAGATGGCTAATGTCAAATGAAACCTGGCTTATGAGAGTGTAAGAAGCTAATGTCAAAATGTATTCGATACCCTAAACCACTTATGGGAACTGAGGTTTTGCAGTTCAAGCCGATCCTTGTAGTTGAACTGCAGACAGCCGTGGAAGAAATCGCAGCAGTCTGTGCAGAAAGAAAGAGTTTATACATGCTTGTTTAAATGACATTCAAATTATCGTATGCGACCATCTTTAGCCTAAGTGAAGATCTCACCTCTTGACAAGCCCTTAATCCTCAACCTTCTGTTGTTCATTCTGGGCATGTCACTTTGTTCTGGAAATCTGTAGAAAACTAGCAGAAACAGAACAACTCCAAGTGACCAGACTGTCGCTGGTTCCCCGTGGTATCTTCCAGTTGTCAAAAACTCTGGAGGGAAGTACTCTCTGGTGCCTGAAAGAGAATTTGTTTCAAGCAACAGTTTAAACAACAGCGAATGTTTCAAGAGTCACGTAAAAAATAAATCTTGACTCATCAGCATCGAGTTTAAGACCCTTCTTACAGCTTTGAATGGATGAACATACCTCTAAAGGATTGGTAACTGTCCTCAGTAAGAAGCTCGCCGCACCCGAAGTCAATCAGTTTGACCTCAAGAGTGTCCGGATTAATCAGCAAGTTCTCCAGCTTGATATCACGATGAAGAACTCCACGCTGGCAGCATGTTTGGGCTGCAATTGTTGTCTGGTACATGATTTTTCGTAACTTGTCCTCTGGAACAATCCCTTTGCAGTCGAGAAGGAATTCATGCAAGCTCATGCAGGGTATGGGCTGCTCTAGCACCATGAAGTAGTTATCATCCTCCACCTTCCAGTCTAGAAGCTCAACGATTTCCTTAACCTTGGGGCTTTTATTGGCAAGAAAGTGCAGAGCGATCTCCAGTGGAAGTGGATTTTCAATCCCATCCTAGAAGAAAGACAGTTGTAAAAATCATTTGATAAAAAAGGTATTTTTAGTGAACAAGTCCTGGACAAACTGTTGCCAATGTCTAGAATAAAAAGCATTTGTAGTCTGTGATTAATATGACAAGAAAACAGTAAATGAGACTTACAACACTGATGAATCGCTTCTCCTCCTTGAAATCGCACACTTTTACTGCCACCTGAAGGCCATCTTCTAGACGGGTCCCTGCGAAAACGGCTCCACAGCCTCCTTCACCCAGCTGAGATTCAATTTCATAGCTGTGAGAATTGATCTCTGTGAAAAGACAAAGAAGAGACCAGAAATCAACAATGGTACAGTACCTTCATCTAAAACGTTTCCTCTTTCATAAATAAATTGAGATACTACACTGAATATTTGTCCCTTAAAAGTTTATCTGGTGATGAAATAAACAAATGAGTATAAAATATTCAGCCTCACCTAAAAGGTATAGTTCACCCAACAAAGAAAATGTAGTCATTATTTACTCACC